ACCTATTGTCCCGACACGGGGAACGACGTCAACCGCCACCAGGGGAGGTGGGAGGGGCGAAACATGGAAGTCACTTCCACTGAACTCCGTTGAACTGGCCGAAAGGGGGGGCAAAAACGGAACAATTCTAACCAAGGGTTGCAATGCATCATGCCACCAGCGCGCAGGCCCAATACGACAGAATTTAAAGGGGGTTACTTTTTTCCCGCGTCACGGGCCTATTATGTATGCAGTGTGAATAGTATCATGTTAGGTTCATCCATAAGAATCATTTGGAACAGTTTTTATCCGTTTATTTCCTAATTTGAGAAATTGTCAACTAGAATATGAAGTTTTCCGTAAACTCGCATTGATTCTTAACTCCCTACTGATCAAAGAGAATTACGAGAACAGGGGAGGGCTTTGAACAGTCTATAGAAGAGATAACTTGTAGAATCATGATATAGGTGACCGACTAGGGGATCCGGATTGCCCTCGTCATATATGACGTCGATGCTTTCGGCGTGTAGCTGAAATCCTGTTTATCCTGGAACTGGCATTTCTTTTACCTGGGAAAATTAACTTCCGAAAATCAATTTAATTTGTTACATTTCAGTGCCGCAGTGTTTAAACATGCAACATGATTCCTTCGTCAAAGACAGAACTTGTTTTGCCAAGCAAGAAGATATCCTGAATGTATTCACTTATAAATTTTTCGTGATTCGTCAGGGGATCACAGTTACTGCGTTTCGTTTTTTTAAATGCCTTTAAGGGTAGCTAAATTATTCAGCCTGGCTTTTGTGTTTTCATATTACATGTGTTTGATCTTCTTTGTCCATATTGTCAAATGTAGTAAGACGTGTGCAAACACCATATCCAACCTTCTTTGTTTTTTGCATGTAAATTACGTGGGATTAGTAAGGAATAAAGACCTTATCTCGTCGCTTTTGGCAAGTTTCAATCAGTTGGCTGAACCGAAGTTCCGGCTCACTTTAAAGCAATTCAGGATAATTTCTTTCTTTGTGCCTTTACGTTTTACGTTCGCAACAGCTGCCAAAAAAGCTTTATATCTCGGGATTTATCAGTTTTGGACTCAGATTGACATTAAGATACGAGTGAACAAAGGTGAGTCTTAAAATTACTTTTGTAGAAAGAATTTCAAGTGCTGCCGTTATCTCTGTGTGAAGCTTAAGTGGCCAGCTTAGTTAAAATCGGAGCATTTCTCAGTAGTTCCGAGATTTTCCAACTCCATTGTATTGGGAGAAGTTCAAATCCTTGCTGCTCGTTCATTTTCGGACAGAGACTTACAACTTTGAAATTTACACAGTAAACGCACTAAAACTTAGAAGTTTATTTTGTGTTTTCAACATTCTGTTTGCTTATTCGAAAATCAACGCCGATTTCACCATTCACGTTGAAATAAAATTTCGACGCGATGCATTCCACATGACAGAGGTTTTTCTCTTTTAAATCGTTTCAGTTAGGAAACCGCTTTTTCAGTTATAGCCGGGTTTTTTGCTAGCCTCTGTACAATATAAGCTCGATGACGAAGTTAATTTCGGCTTGTCAGGCTTGTAAAATGTATACTTGATGGGAGATTTATTTCAGCGAATTTGTTTAGTAACGAAAGACATAGTTGAAGAAATAAGCTTATAATAACAGCGGACGCAAAGATACTTCTGTAGCAATTGCCAGTGTTCATAAAGGGCGGTATAACGAAGATTGAAAAATTGCAAAATGATATATGTTTTCGTAAAGAAACTGTTTTTTTCGTCTTAACTATTTTTATCAGAATGAGGAGCTTTCGATGAAAAGATTTTATTATTTTTTATAACACTAAGTGTACCACGCAAAATAGCCTCGAAGAAAACATCAGCGGCTTTCGTAACGTGCATATGTTAGTTGCACGGAAGCACTTATACCCGGTTAATGAGAAACATATTCTTCGTCTTCGGAAAATTAATATTACTATTTACTATAACTTTCACCTCTCCCAAAAAAAGGGGGGCAAGCTTTTTTTATTACCTGTTCACGATGCTCAGCGTACATACTTTTAGCTCTTTATTGTGTAAATCAGTGTACCACAAAACGGTGATTTATAGTACTTATCTATCGCCTGCTCTTAATCTACAGACGTTTCGTTTGACCACTCTACTTAATGCTCCTGTCATTTTTTCACAAAGGCTCTCTGGAATTCGAGCTTCGAATCAAAACAACACTGAATGGAGAGCAAACGTGAGTAACGTGGTAAGTATTTTAAAGTCTTGATCAAACAGAGCTGACAGCGATTCGTAGAGTAATGTTACCGTTGTACTTTGAAAGACTCCACAATGGTTTTGCGTGGGTTGGTCCATAAAACACCTTTTACCCTGCAAAAGAAACAACCATTTTTGCATTTATTTTGCGCTGGAAGAAAGTGGCAGGAAAGGATTCGGTGTTCTCTTGCGTTTCAAGCAAGAAAACAGTTTTCAACCTGCAAAGCCTGAGGCAGCCATATTTTGATTATATTTTACGTCAGGGAAAGAAAAGAGAAAAATGCGCTTTCGCGCCTTCCCACGCTTATTTTGTTTTCTTTGCTGATACCATGACTGACACTGATTGCGACACGTGGGCACATAACTGTTTGCCCTGCAGCGCAACACACTCTTTGATATATTTCTTCACTTTTGTTCCAGTCAGAAGATGGGGAATGGTGGTCTGTGATTGCCGACTCTACTGAATTTTATTCGTGCGGAAGACTTTGCGGTGGAAATTTAATTACATGAAGGTCATGGTAAGTTCAGTGTGCATATTAGTGTTCCAGTCAACACTCATGTCTAATTATCTGGAAGCAAAAGTCTCTTATGCTTTCTCAATTCTTAAAACAAAATTTGGCTTAGTGTTAACGAAAGCCCGTATAAGGTAGAATGAAAAGAATCCAGTGTAAGGGATCAACAGAACCGATCATGTCATAAATGCTAATCTTCAAGATACTGTCACGGCACTTGTCCATTTTGCTTAGTTTGACCAATTACTCGCTAAGACAACTTACGTAATAAGTAGCAAAATAACAGAGCCAACTATTCCTCGCCAGTGCTGTAATTCAAAAAATATATATAAAAACAAAACAATATTGCAGTCTGTTTTGATCTTGTCCAACTTTGTCCTTGAGTACCTTTTGCTTTGTTATCTCTTTACAATTTTAAGTAGCTACAGTGCAACCGATTTTTTTTCGGGCGAGTGAGTGATCAGTATTGCCTGCAGTCGCCATCTTTAATTTTGAAAGCAGACGAATTTTTTTCACTCAGTTTGGTGCCCAGTTCCCAACAGCAGTATTTGGCTGAGGTGGGTTGGAAGAATCGGAATCATGTTGTTCAGATTTGTTGTTCGTATTGCGGGATTGGTTATACCAGATTCATTAGATAAACAAGACGGTATGGAGCGTAAACTTCGGCGTCGTGGTTAAGGATTAATTGTGATTGTGGAGGAATAGTAGGAAATGAAATTTTTCCGGATACCCTTCCATACAAATCCCCTTACTTTTCTCCTTTTGTGTTACAGACGTCTTAACTCCTTCACCGGAAGTCTGCTAGGTGCATAGCCCCGTGGCTGTAATCCAATTCGATTATAATTTCTGTCATTAAATAAATTGCGCACGACGTTTCAATCAGTTTCCTAAAAGCCCAAAGTAACTAATCGTCGCACTTCGACTGTTCGGAGTTTTGTAGTAAAACATTAACTTGCTGCTCGCCCAAATTAAAAAAAATAAATAAAACCTACAAATCAACCATCCGTTACTTTTCTGTTACAGTCTCGTCTCCGAGGTCTAAAGGGGCAAAGATAAGTAACTACAAACCGAAGGGCGAGCAAAAAAATATATTTCTTTCTTCCTCAGATAAACTAAACAACTCGAGCAGTGTCCCCCATTAGCTCATAGCTAAAAACATAGACACTTAAGTAAAGTGATTCATTTTATTTATTTTATAGATATATATATATTGAACAACTTTCAGCTTCACTTCGGAAACAAAATGCAAGTTTAGGACATTACTTTGCGCTTCGCCTCAAATATTTGTTGTAGCCGAAAGAACTAGAAGTGATCTCGCGATATCTCTAACCAAAAGCATGCTTCTGTTCCAACTCATTCCTGTGTCACTACGTCAAATACCCAAAACAAGCCGAAAAGTAACAAATTTGAGTGCCGAATCTTTAACAGTACCTCGTGCACAACTTATGGCTATTTTTCACGTCTCAAATTACCTTGCGTCGCAGTGGCGCAATCCGCTCATGGCTAAATTTAGAGTCCTGTATGATCTGACGGATCACACGTAAGCCGGTTCAAACCCTGGGCAAGCCAGAAATAATGATTATTTCGTCTTTATTTCTTCCACAGGTAATAAATATTTCTTCCCATAATTATTTCTCTTTTTCTGAAAGAGTAAATCAAAGCACCCGAAGACATCTCGAACTAACTCCGAAGCATTTTCGGGACACACGGAAGTAACTTCGGGACCTCCGAATGTAACTTTTCCTGAGCTGCACGAATCCTTTACTTCGCGCTCCGCCGACTGTAATAAATGTACTTGTTTTAAAAATCTCTACTCGTAAACAATTTGTTTTTATCAGTATTTTTTTAAAATTCTATTTTTGTAATTTCTTTCTCTTTTCGCTTTGTTTGCCATTAATTCTTCATTTTTGTCTTTTGTCCTTTTTACTTTTACATGTAATCCTTTTCTTTTTTTGGGGACCGACCACTAAACTCATGAAAGGGAAAATAATTTTACGTTTTCCTGTTGTTCTGTCTTTAAAGTTTAATCAGAAATTAATTATTTGGATAATTTTAAGACTGTTTTTGAGCGACGAAGTCGACCGATGACTTTTGGAAAGTCTAGATGACTTTTTATTCACGGTTCATGAATGTCTTTTTTCGAGAAACCGGGCCAGCTTTCCGGTTTAAATTTCCGACAACTTCCCGAATGAGAACCGAAGCTCATTCCGAAAGTTTCCGCGTTCTTACCGAATTGTGCTCGCATGATCGGGCACAGCAACGAGGCGTGAAATGTGTCCCCCGTCCACAAAGAATCGATGTCACTGAGGAACAGACACAAAAATAGTACAGCTCACTTACTTCGAACCAGTGACGTTGTACTTACTGGGGTCTTCAAAATTTCTTTACTAAGCGAAAATTGAGAAGAGAGGTAAGGCTGTTTTGTGACTAATGTTCCCTGTAGAACGTTTGTGAGTTATGATTGCACCACGAATCTTTCAGCTGTTTTTAATACGAAAACCCAATATGCTAGCCGTCCTAGGTTCAAAACTGGCTTAGACCGATTTTTTTTGTGAGTGTCTCCACTTAGCGATTCATGCGTTCGATAACATTTGTTTTCTTAAAGGTAATTTCTTGAGACCTTTTATTGAAAGGAAACATAAGTTCGTAACTAGGGTCTCCAAAAGAAATACGTTTCAGTTATTAATGCGGAAAATCTAGCGTGACTCGGAGAGATTGATATTTAGCTTTCATTTTTGTCTAGGTTTATTTGTCGTCGTCGCCTAGGGTGGTTGTCTTGTGTCGTTTTATTTTAGTAGCACAGACAGTTGCAATTTGAAGCAGTCAGAATTTTCCTATTTTCAACAAACAACTGGATATTTATTTTTAGTTAATAGGTCAAGACCACTATTAACCGATCAAGGCAAAATCCGATTACTGGCGTATTACCTGATGAAAGGGCACTGATAATTTTCTTTTAATAAGGCACGAACATATTCCTTCCCTTGAAAGCAGAAAGAAGATGGATTTAAACTGTTAGATTCGTTTTCTTCAGGATTTTTTAAGCCGAAATAAATGACCCACAAAGGTCAATAACATGTCATTACGTGAATTATTCCCGAGATTTGAATATTAATCGCCCAAAACAGGCCCAATACCGAACGATATTGGCTTTGGTGACAAAGTCACGTCAATAAGTCTGATATCGCTTATCTAATTTCTTTCAAGTGTTTTGTCGTTTCCTTTCACAATGTGGCAAGATTTTTGAATTCCTCTGCAACAAACTTCTGTCTGATAGATAACTTAAAAAGAAAGAACTTTCTTTTTGAATCCGGACTTTGAATGGCCGCGTTCAAGATTACGAGATTGATAGTTCGATTCATCATTTGCAGGAGCCGATTGAAATACCACCAACAAAAACATTGACACCAATAAAACACCTCTTTTTTAAAAAATGGCGACACTCGGACTCAGGAGTTAACAGAACGTCTTTGTACAACATGATAAACAGCACCACAGGAAAGACTCGCCAAATGATTGGTCACACCTTTAAGGATTTATTAAAGGCGTTAGTTAAACCTCACACGACAAGCAGACTAACAGGAAACCACTGAATACCTTTAATTAGCACAGGCTCAGAGTCCAATTTGGAACTAAATTACATGCTTCACTAGTGGTATGAGGTCTAGAAAAAAATTTTTCATGTTTGTCATTTGTAATTCATGTTAGTCTCCTTCCTCGTAAGCCATCCTCACCGTTTTGGTCTCTTGTTACCTCTTTTAAAAAGGTTTTTCCCTCTACCATACATTGTACTAAGGTTTTCCGGCATAAATTTTTATACGTTGTAGAACAGTAACTCAAAGTATCTCATTACCGTAAATCCGAATCAATTTGGTTGGGCTGTAAATAAGGCTGCTGTTTTCGTTTTATATATATATATTTTAATATTTCAACCCTCCCTGGATGTTTTCAAGCTTATATTGCACGAAAAGGTCTTGTTTTGGAGTTCAGACAGTTTGTACAGTAGAGAAGCCCTTAGGCTTCTCTCCTATTCGTGTCGTTACCACGGGTACCAGACGAGTTTTCTAGTGTGCGGTGAGATGCTTCGGCACATCTTCGACCGAAGGCCGAAGCGACCAAAAGAAAAAAAAAACACTGAAATTTCGCCTGGGTTCACTATATAAAGACCTTGTGGCCGGGTCTAGTGTGATTTATACGCGGGGATCGTTTTCGCTGGGGACCTGAACGCGGTTATCATCATGGTCATCATCATTAGTATTAACAGCAGCAACATCCTACATGATTATTACATTATCTTATCACTCAGCATATGGTTAAGTGGGTAATAGGCTTTGTTCACACTTTACCGGCCGACACGAAAACCTATCCGCTATATGAGTATGAACACCTATCCGATATATGTTACTCTCCACTTTAGGGATCGCAGCGCGGTGCATCTTCGCTCCGTTAGAAATCTTGCCGAATTTACCGTTCTTGTGTGCGAATAGAACCCCTATTCGGTATGGTTTTGGTGTCGGCACAAAAGCTATCCTGTGTAGAGTTCATATAGCCTTAGTAGACCAGCAAGGAGCTCTTCATCTTTATTCAATCAACACCTTTTGTTCACATTTTCTTTACTATTAAAATTACAGGAGGAAAACGCGACCGACGAAAGGCAAATTAATCAAAACGAACATCAGGGAATCCAAGACGAACAACAGGATAAACAAGGCGAAGGACAAGACAAGGAGAAAGAGCAGCAGGACAACCAAGACGGCGAACAGGTTGACCAAGACGAACAGCAGTACAATCAAGAAGACAGTAATATGGCGGATCCTGTGCGCTTGACTGCCCCGGATGTACACAAAGACTTCACAGTGAGGAGGTAAAGATATGGTTTTCATTTTTTATTAAGAAGATAAAATATGAATGAAATAACTGTCTTCCTATACACCTCTCGCCTATCCGCGAAATGATAAGGAACTTCCTGTTTTCTAACTGCCTGAGATGAAGCGTGATGGCAGAAAAATGGGCTTGTAAGCTTACTCCACGGGGAGTAAGGTATTGAAGTTTGGGTGTGACGGAGGCGTTTCAGCTCTGACCCTGCCTGAAAACTCCTGCCGTTTTTGTGCCGTTTTAGCTCCTACCCTTACCTTGTTCAATTCGCACGAGGGGAATACTAAACTTTTGTAGTCAGACACTCAAGCGAAGTTTTATGTCCCAGTTCACCTACCTCGTTCCCAGGCGTCTCAAGTGTCTAGTAGAAAACGTGCCTGCGAGCAATCAAGGAGTATCGCGCAGTGGACCGTGGGAACGTCAAGCGTAGGCGCAAAGGACATTGGGAAGGGTGGGCGAGAAAAATGAGACGTCGCGTTTTTTCTCAGCCTGCGTTGCTGGTGCGATTAGCAGGCGAGTGATGTAGTTTTTTGGCGGCGGAGGCGCGTGAAGATTGGCGCCTTTCCCATCATCCCTTGCACAGAACCATTAGAATCGCTCCAGTCACTCTCGATTACGAAACCACTAGAACGCGCCTAGGTATAAGGCAGTTAGTTCACGGTATGTATCTCTGTAGTCAAAATAAGGAAGAACAATGAAACTTCCCTCCCCCCCCCCCCCCCCAACTTAACGGACACCTGGTTAAGTTAGTGCCTGCCTTTTTTGTTTCTTTCATTTGACTCTGTATGAGACGGTCATTTCTTTAAGACGGACACGAAGTGTCTATCCGAAAGATGTCCGTCTTGGAGGAAGTTGCCTGTGTGTTGTCAGTCCCACAGATATGCCCATGGCCGAGTTGTTCGAGGCTGACTTAAGATAACCCGATGTTAGTGCAAATTCAAATTTAGTTGTGATAGCGTAAAAAACAAATTCTTTTTGCCTACAATTTGATGATTGGATGCTATAAAAAAAAATAAAGAAAATTATCCGAGAAAATGGGCGTGAACAAAAAAAAAAGAATCCCTGATTTAAATTAACCGGGTTACATCCACTGGTAAACTGGGCCGAAGACTGGGCCATGCGTGGCATGGTGGTTTTATCGGGAGTACGGTTTTGTAGGGAGCACGACTGTGCGGCGAAGCGCTCCAATCTCCCCGCGGTTTCTCTGCCCTCGCCTCCCTTTATTACTTAGCGCGCCCAACCAAAACCACCGTGCTACGCAGGCTACCCCTGATCCTGGCCCTAATTCTCACCTAAACGCAAGCAATTCTGTTTACGTGAAGTCATATGGAAATTCCAAATAATTGCAACTAATATGAGGTACTTAAGTTCCTAGTTTTCTTACATTTCTGGAGATAACCGTTAAGGGAGGGTCGGCTGTACTGTTTGGATCCCCTCCCCTAAGTTAATAACATTAACACTTACTCCTCACTTAGGGCAAAATAATGGCTAAGGGAAGGGGTAGGTGGTCAGTTTCCCAGAAATCTAAATTGATCTAACTTTTTTTTTTGTATTTTCTCTAATAAGTTATTTGTTATATAAATTATTAATTCTATTTCCATGGCTTGTACTCTTATCAGCCATAGAAGTGATGTCAAAATGTTCAAACCTCAAGTGGTTTCAGTGCAAAGTTTTAAACATTTTGATGTCATTTCTATGATCGATGAGATTACAGACCATGGAAATTAAAATTGTTGTCGATTTGTCTTGTACAATAGAGAGCTTTAGATTCGGGGACGAGAACGACTACAAAGGGCGACATTTATTTTTAAGTTTTCTCGCCTATTCTCTAAAATAGACAGCCCGGAAAGCTTCATTGTAATTTTTTTAACCACAAACGTTAGTTCGCTTATTTCCGCTGAGGGAGTTAAAGCACTCCCGCGATCTCTAAATGATAAAATTCCTAACAGTTGATAACTTGTTTTCGCTACTACGACATTCTCGCTAAAACTCGTAGTAGAATGAACATGGCTATCACATTTTCCCGCCAAAATGACGTTGTTTCGCGCGCGGGTACTATTTAGTAGTATTACTATTTAGTCCTCCTCGTCTTAGAATCTAAGCTCTCATTTCCGTTAGAGTTTCTCGGAAAATCGCGCGAGAGGGAAAGAGAAAAGCATATTACGCCATCATCACGTCATTTCGACCATTTCCATGGTCTGTGCTCTTACCAAACATAGCTCTCGACCAATCAGCGCGCGAAAAAATTGCTTAGTTCTTGTAAAAGGTGTATTAGTGCTTTTCATGCTTGCATTTAATTGAAAACAGTACGATATGCACCGTGACAATTCAACTTTAGCTGTCGTATTTATTTAAAAAGAAATACGGAAAAAATTCTAGAAAATTGTATTATCCAAAGAGATTCTCTCCTGGAGATAAACAAATAGCGTTAAATTTCATTTCACTACATCGTCACAAAGGTAGTTATAGGTTCGAGTCTGTTATGTTTAGCACAAACAGTCATTCAAAGGCCACAGTGTAAGAATGCCTGGAAATAGAAGGATTAAGTCCCTGTGGCGTCTAGCGTCGTGTCTCCTTGTCGTGATTCTAGGTTGACATCTCCACCGCCTTACTGCACAAGTCTGAAAATAAAGCCGCGAGGTTGTTGCTATCTTCGTGTTAAGACTGTTTTGTTTGCTATAAAGTCTTCATTTCCTTTCGACAAAAATGTGCGAAAAAAAAAAGAAGAACGCAAAAGCTATTTAAAATAAATCTGGATTGTAATGTCCATGAAGTAAAAGCCCAGCAAGAAGGAGAAATAGAAAACGAGAAAGGAAAGGAAGAGAAAGAATAATTCTCAAAATTCTCAAAAGTGTTCATTTCCGCAACCAAAACCTGTTTGCACTAGAAAGGAGTTAGAAAAAAAGAACCTGTGGTAAGTTTGCTCGGTGGAAATTTTCCAAATAACCCCAGAGCTCGAAGAATATTGAATTCCAGCTTGTCCTGGGCAAGCAGCTCTCATATTTTGCTTGCCCAGGGTCAATTTTTGCTCGTCTGTTAAGGGATAAGTTGTTTGACCCTTGCCCATTTGGTAAGTAAGCTTTGCAGCAAGGAGCCAAAAAATGATACCGCTTTTGATTTTTTCACATTCTTTCGTACAGATTTAATCCAATCAGAAGTTTCCAGCTGGAAACTGTCCTCGACTTTTGATTGGTTAATGTCTGCATGAAAAATGTGAGCAAGAAAATTCACTTGTCCCGGACAACCGGACGGAACTTTTTTTCGAGCCTTGCCTAAATCTGCTCTTCGTCTTCCTTCATTCTTTTTCTTACTTGTACATGTACTTACACAACTTCTGCTAAAACTTTCTAGAAGAGGAGAAAAAAATGCTCTCACTGTCACGTTACGCGTGTGCCTGCGCTCTTATAAATATAAGTTAACGACGTTCACCAATCACAGGGCTCACAGTATTCAGTACATTATTGTATGATAATAACTATATATAGATGCAAGGTCGCCTGAAAAGGTTAGATCTTGTAATTCGATGTTTGGGTCTCGTATAAAAAATATATATTTACCCATTACTTTCGGCAATCTGTAACACAAGATATAACTTCATCCCCCACTTTCCGCACAAGGTTTTGTTTGGGGGTATATCGTTCACTGCTAAAGGATGTAAATATTTCTAAAAGATATTTGTTGCTAGCTTCTTGAGAGGTCAGATTGCTTATTGCATCGCGCATCCTTCCCGCGCATAATTTCACACGTGATTAGCGCGTGAACATTTAAAAATGGCGGCTTTTGTCTTAAGGCCGGAACTTGCCAGAGAGGCAGTTCGTCATTTTCTCTTCAACGAGTATGTTGACCTTTCATTTTTTCCCCTCTTTTTTAAACTGAGCGTAATTATTATTCTTTAGAATAAAAATAAACCAGTTTCAGTGCAGAAAAAAGCAATCGTTGGAAACGTGTTCAAAGGATGCACTCTTAAATATAATCATATTGAAGGAAGGAAGTGCGGCGTATATACAAGTTGCTGCTGCTCCTAAACAAGTAAGGGTACCCCTACGTTTTTATTTCAAAATTTAACGTGAACAAGCAATCGGTAAAGTTTGAAACAATCTCACTTCAGTTTCTATTTTAGAGGAATGACCTTAATGTCGTATCTTTGAATGGCGTTTACTTAGCAAAGCAGCTATAGTGATTAAAACACCAGATCCTAATACTGAAATTGTTGGCTTCTCTGCTGCTTCATGAAATAACTAGCGATAAAGCTTCCTTGATATGTGTCACATAGACGCCAGCCTTCTGTCCTTATTTATTCAGTACGTAGAAAGTGAAGTGTATCGTGGAATTCTGCCATGGGTTACGACATAACCCCGAGTGAAAATGAAAATATTGTAATGACTATAGCTGTTATCGGAACCCGCGATCAAGTGGGCCTTCTCCTTTTCTTTGCGAAGCCCGTCCTCCTAAAGAACGCATAGCATGGTCACAAGTTATTGAAATTGCTGAAGATGATGATTTCGCGAAAGGTCTCAGTTTGAGGTTCAAAGGTCCTTTGGAGAGTACGCGCCGGACTAAGCTGACATTTCTTGCAGGATGGTAAAAGCCATTGTGACTTTTTTCTGTAATAATAGTGGTCTTGGAAGGGCGCTTTGTAAAAACAACGACGTTAATAAATCATCTAAAAAACTTGGACTTGTTTTTCCCCCGAGGTCAACATTATTTAAAAGTGCATGAGTTTGGCAGTTTCCGTTAAAAAGCGAAATAGATCCTCTTCTCCGTTTTTAGCGAAACTGTTAGACGGAGTTTAGCCAGTGTTAAACAAAACCGGTTTCTAAGCCTTTTTCAGTTTACTACCGGCTTATATCTAAACACCACTTATTGTGAACAGTTTCATGGACGAATAAGCGCGGACTGGAGAAACATTTTTCTTCTTTAAGTAAACCAATTAAAAAGAGATCTGGGGGGTACAATGATTTATTAAACCGTGGTCTAAGTTAGACTTCGTCTAAACAACTTACCCTTAGTGTTTTTTTCTTTTCTTTTCGTTTTTAATTTGTTGTTGTCGTCGTTGTTGTTTAGAGAATATAGCGCTTTCTTTTGCTCCCCAGTCTACGCATGCGTGAATTTTGTCATTTCCCTGCTTAGAAATGTAAATTATACACCGGGAAAAATATAAATAAACAAATATAGTCAGGTATGTTAAATAACTCACAGATGGATCGAAAGGTTTTTAATCGCTCGATCGCTAACCAGCGGAGGTTGACTTGTCAAATGTTCTGATAACGTGTTCGAAACGTTGATACGACTGGGAAATTCTGACAGCCGACTGTATTTGTTATTTTCGTGGAGAAACTTTCACTCAAACAGCCCTGCAGCTGGTATTGTGTGTTCACTTTTCTATGCCATTTAATTGACACGTCACATCAAAGCTAAGGAATCATTGAGTAAGCGGCGAATTACATCGATTTACAAGCTGTCAAACCTTTGCTTGGCAAAACGCGTACGGATGGATAGAAATTGATTAGTTATATTTGGTATTTTTTTTCATTCAGCTTTTCGCCGATTTTAAGACATTCAATCATGTTGGGAAGGTTAAAGTAAGTTGCAATTTGTTCTCAGCCTTATTGATACGATTTTTTACTTCCTTATCAAGCGATCGCGCCAGCTCGTTTTTCGCTTTTTCTTCTCTGAGTATGAATTTTGGCTCTCAAAAGCCCGCCTGCAGTGACCACCTATTTAAATTCTAAATCGCAACCGAAGTGTATAAGAAGGTTGCTTTGGATTTTCCGGCAGTTAGGTCAGCGCTTAGCCTTGCGACTTGGACTTCCAGGTTGGAAGAAACATTTTCGGTAAAGATACAACAGCTTCGCTAAAACTGTGCTTCGCGGTGATGGCAAGAGACTGATTACAAACGTCAAAAAAAAAATTTATGTGAATATTTTACGGTCTTTTCAAAGACTTATAATCAATCCACAGCGATATTATTTATTTCAGGCGTGAACTGAAGCAAATCATAATTTTCTGCACGATGATGTGTTTATTTTCTTGGTTGGCCGCGGGAGGTTCGTGCGGAAATAAATCCATTGCTTTTTTTTTTTGTCAACTCATATTCAAATTTCCCCCTTAGCAAGGTAAATACGTGATGAAACAAGGTACCTTTCGATAAAATACGGTCTTTTATCAAGTGGTATGTTGTCGACATATGTTGCCTCTAAATAGTAACCAGAAATTTTCATGTTACACTAAAATGTTTTTTTTTTCCAAGGCTATATTATATTACTTTCTAAAGATAATCTCTATTAAGCACTTTTTGAGGTGCAACAAGGTATTTCAAAATCTTCCCTCGAAACTAAAATTATGGCACAGATTGCCAGATTTTCTATCAGTCTTAAGACCATTTTATTAAACAATTGCGATTTCACTTTTTAAAAGCATGTTTTACAGCCTTGCAAATTATATTTTATTCTGACCTATTATCGGTGGCCGATTACATTTGCTTAATAAAAGTTTAAAATGCTGTTCCGTTTGTGGCGGAGAAATTTGAATAATCACACCATTGAAAGCCACCGAACATTGATGCCCCAGCCCTCCCCGCGTTAGTCACATTCTATTCTCGGGTCACTTGATATTTAGGTCGGAGCAGAAACGATTTTGCTGTTGTTGTAGCAGAAACCGAGGCGGAAACAGAGAGCCATGTCCACGGACAATAAACGTCCAGCACTCGCAAAGACAGAGAAGTATGGGATACAATATCGAACTAGCTGAATTTGCTGATTTTCATGGCAGGAATTTAGCGGCTTTTGATCGATTGTTGCATGTTGCGAATATGAGTAATAGGTGATGTCGTTGTTAATCCTTCTTGTCACAGTTGCCTGTTGTTTCGATCCCTGTGACGACAATTTAACCATTAGGCTTACTACTGTATTTAATAACGACGCTGTAATTCGTTTATGCTTTACCCACTATATTGAGCTTGTCTATCGAGTTGATCGAACTCTCGATCGCCGGTTTTGATCGTTCGAATCAGTGAAGTTTGATCAGTACATATTTTGGATTTGTCCTCGACGGTTCCTGTACCGCATGAATCGCAATCGTTTGGCGTGCAAGACTTAATTTATCGAGTATGTTTTTTATCGCGAAAAGGTACGGCTTAGTATTTATTTATCTCCTGCCGTCGCGGCAATTTGTTCGCTTTAGCGACTCGCTCTAAATGCAAGCGCAGATAAGGCGAAAATTCGCAGACAATGCTGTCGATATTTTAGCGTAGTACAGTTGATTCTTTCTAGTTGACCTCAAGTTCACGGCGGTGGAGATAAAGTTACATATTTTACCCTCCTCCAGGAAAAGTGGTAAATTATTTCTCACTGTGTTTTGTTTTTAAAACAGTAAATGACGAAAATGTGTGAACTTGTATCGCACTATGGCATTTATCCTGCAGTAGTTTCTTTGTAGAGTAATAGTTACAGGTCATTTTTCTCCGATGTCGAGTGCTTTATCTCGAGGCAAATTGATGTTGGCTGTTCTGCTCTGGTATTAAAAACAGGCTAAAACTAGCCGGCTACCTTATTGCGCTGTAAGTTGTTTATCGCGTGCATTAGCAAAACACATCGAAAATCAACTGCGGTGGGATTTTGCCAATGGAACAATATCTGGGATTTAAAAGCTGTTTGTATTCATTTTACTTCTGTTTGCCCACTAACAGGCGTAGCTTCGACGATGCCCAGAGTCGCTTAAAATGCAGAAAACTGCTTGGGATCGGAGGAAAGGAGCCTTCAAAGGTGAGTTTTGGACCAAACAACGAAAAACACGTCAATAACATTGCTGTTTTCGATTGCGCTTTCGACTTCACCGCCAAATTAAATTCCGAAATCGCTTGCTTTTTTTTGCTTTTTCTCATTACAATATTCATATTTGTTCGGTTGTAAATCTTTGACAGAGGTTTTGCTTTGATAATTACTTTTCGAATATTAGCACCAGTGAGCTAAGAGGATGTTTTTTATCTCCATTCAGTTAGAAATTCAAACCAGATTACGCGCTAAAAATCGAGTAATCGAATTTTGCATTTTTTAGTATTATTTTTTTCTTCTCCTCAACTGTACATTTCGGTCGATTCTTTTAAGAGAGAAATTTTGGTTCCGACAGGTTTTATTATTTTTAGTGGAAGTATCAACTCAGAGGAAATTTACTGTATGTTTTCCTTTCTGTATAGTAATAAAAATTTTACCTCTTCACTGGCAAGGATTTTTAACAGCAGCTGCGTCGTTTAAAAATTCTTACAGAACTCTTAAAGCTTCAAGACTCGGGTGATCGAAGTATTTGTTGTTCGTTAAATTGGAATATTGCTCTTACATCGGTGCCATACGAATAAATTTCGCCAGGAGGTCGCCGAGATCGTTTTATGATTACTCTTTCAAAACTGAAAATTGGACATGACACCGTGTTCCGATCTGTTCTCATTTTCCGTAAACAACGAGCCGTGTGTCGTTTGCCTTTGAATGGGTTGTTGAGTACATTTCCAAGGGGCTTTTTGCACGCAATCACACTGTTATACTACCTTGCAACTTTGTTAGGTAAATAGTACCGCACACTCGTCGAAGTTTCCAATAGCTCATTAACATAATGTCAAGGTCTCAGAGAGTATTTGAACACATTTTTATATGAATAATAAGTTTCAATCAACATGGAGTCCATTCCAAAATTGTCTTTCGAATAATCAAAGATAAGAATTAAATACAAAAGAGACCTTTCTGCTCTTGGCTAAAAATACTAACGAACACTCTTTCTTCACACCCTGTTTTTTTTCTTCCTGAAGTATGCAGTCCGCTTCGAAAACATAATTTCGATCGCTTATACACCCTTTTTCCTTTTTTTTTTTCCTTAAACGTAAAGTAGACAACCGTATGTTTATAACATTTGATGTAGCTCTCTATTGCTTGGCCGTACACTGTTGTTGTATTTGTCGTTTCAAAGCAAGGATGTTGAAAATGGAAATTGGTGAATGTAACAAAAAGGCAAAAAACGACCGGAAATCAAGTTTGCCTTTTATCTGTCTCAAGTTAAGTAAAGTTATTTTAGTTCAAGAAACAATAAATTGTAAAACCGGCCTACGAACATTTTTCTTAGTGAAATGACGTCTAGTTTTTTTAAAAATGATTGGCAGCTTGTGTTCTTATTTATAATGCAGGGATATAGAAGAGGGCCGTTATTCTAATTTTATTATCAGTGGCGGGATCCAGGGGCGCCCCCTTCTCTTATTTTTGGACCAAACTGAGACGCGAAGGGCCGAAAAAATTTTTTCGCAGACCGCCCCCTTCCCGCTTATCTAAGGGTGTGCATGACCGTCCCCCCACCCCCCTTATCTCAAGGTTTGGATCCGGTACTGATTAAATCCACGAATATTTTAGAAGCCACCATTTGTATTTTGAATTTTTAAGTCCTTCCAACGGCTCTTATGTGGTTGTAAAAAATCTCTGTGCTTTTTCAAAGAAACCCCTGCACTTAAAGCTTCTTGTAAGGTCTCATTGTGATCATAAGGATTTCGATGTGTACACTCATAGCACACATTTGTTTTATCCTTGGTTAAGGGGCTTAATTGTTAATGTTGGATAAGACGTAGAAGTCTCACAACAGGACAGAATAAATTTTGTCTGAAACACTTTTATGAGACCAGACTTCTAAATCTTTTCCTCTTTTCAGACGCCCAAACGACAAATTTCCCTTGCTGAACAAAAAACAAACACACCCTCAGGCGGCGAAAATGTCATACCATGTTTACTCGAGTAAGCGCCCCATTTGCAGTGGGTATTAGAGAGCGGTGTTTATTTGAGGTCGGCGTTTAGTTTAAAACTGGAGGCGACAAAGAATTTTTTCTTTTGATTCAACAGTAAATAGTTCTTTTTGTATGAAATTTTAATGCAACTAACAGAAGTGTCTTTTGATTGTCACAACTTGTTTCTTAAGGCTGGTTTTCACTAGCGTTAAAAACAGCGTTCTGATTCCACTTTAGTTACTACTCCCTTGTTTACTATCAAGTGAAAACTAGGTCGTCGGAGTCGCAAGCAGAAGCGGAAGAACTAGACCAATCACAAAGCGTGGGAACGTGCATTGTGATTGGTTTATCCTTCCGCTTATGTCCGACTCCAACAATCTGGTTTTCGCTAGATCGTAAGCGACGGAGTCATAAGCGAAGTCGGAAGAAATTGGAAACGTTCTGATTCTTCCGACTACGATTTCGTCGCGCTTATGACTTTGCTCACGACTCCGATTCCGACTCCGACTCCGACTCCGACTCCGACTCCGACTCCGACCCGACTCTGTCTCTAGTGAAAGCCAGCCTTTAGAGCACTTTTCAATTGCATTACTGGTGGTATCTTCACTGCATTGTGGGAGGGTGGGTCTCTTCTACAGTTGATTGTGCACATCTCAAATGGTTTTAATCTGGTTTCCTCAAAATATCCAATTGTAAACGAAGCATTGCCCTTCCTGTGAATTCCTCGAGTAACCGCGGCATTTCTAAATTTTTTTTTCCCAAAGGTGGCGTTTATTCGAGATCGGCGCTTAATCGAGTAAATACGGTCCCCTTTGAATCAACACATAGCATTGCTCTCTGAGCAGTCGAGTGTCTCTTCGAGTCTCTCAGCTGTTTGTGATTCACCCCGAAGGACTTAGTAGAAAATTAGCTAATTTGCAAACCGCATTGACGTATCCGCAAGACAAAAAATTTTCTGAGGGCAAAACACAACGAGTGTTTTAGAAATGAATTTTGGAATTTTTAGGATGAAAGTATATTGAAGTTCTAAAAGTTTGATTCGGTAACAGAAGGTGTCATTCGAGTTAATTTTTTTTAAACGAAACTCAGGGCACCACCCTTCTTGGAAATGTATGCGACGGCTGTTTCCTAAGGGAAAAATTATGAAGATCTTTATGGGAGGCAAAGGTTCTCACTTTAAATTGAAACTATCGAACGTTTTTGAATTAAATTATTTATGCTTTTGACTAGACAAGGTCGGAAATTATCTTTTTACGCGGCTGTCAAATAGTGACTGAACAACATAATTGGTAGTCGCCAAATGGCAAATGTAGGCGCCAAACAAGTATGTGGAGTTTTCGCTTCACACTGCAACATAAAAGAGAACAAGCTGTCGATAATGAAGTTTCTTTGCTCAAAACAATCAGGCAGCATAACCGAAAGCAAATAACTTCGTTCCGAGTCGGCTGGAAGATCTCCGCCGTGGCAGATAACATTAAAATGTTTTTTTCATTCGTGCCTTAATTCGTTGAGTGTCGGTTGTTCATTGTGAGGTTTTCGTGTTTATCCAAAGCAACTTCGCGAATTTTTCGAGGTTTGCTCTGAGTTCCACAGTTTTACCCTCTGTATAACATTTCAAGAACGTATACCCAGAGAAGAATCGAATAAACCCAATAATTTGGCTACATCAACAATGGGAAAGATATCAGCCAGCCGGTCATAAAGCTTCAGACTGTCAGAACGAGGCTCCAAAATTTTGCTATCATTTTATTATGTACGGAAGATTGAACCTCCTCTTATACTTTCATTGGTGAGCTTAGAACGAGGCAGTCCTCGTGACACCAAAGGGCTGCTAATTGCCGATTGCTGCTTTGTTGCGAAGAGCTGCTTCCTTGAAAGAATTAGGTGTATTAAATCAAAATGACAAATAGTCCCCTTGCAAATGGTTAGGATACATGTCCTTCTGCACTCTATTTGCGCGTGTTTGTTTAAACAGACAAAATCTCTTGAACTTGTCACTGTCGCGTTTATACTATATACTTTCTTGAGATACGTTTGTAAACACAGTTGCGGTTGTATCTCAAGAATGCACTAAACCGGTTGCACTCTTTCTCAGAGGGATCTTTCTAACATGGGCATTGTCGCTAATGCCGTAATAGGCCAGACTATTGAGAAAATTCTCGAAACATTACTGCGATCTTTGACAAAACTAGTGGGAAAATTTAGCTTTCTACGCCTATATCAACCGGATTGACAGACTGTGAGAGTCATCTTTTCACGTAGTTTGCACTTTTTAACGGTTAGCCTGGAAACCCGTAGCCCCTTTCAGAATCAACAAAAGGGGTAGATGAAAGGTAACTTCAGTTTTATTGGTTGGTTAAAGATGTAAATATATTCAGTCTGCTATGTTCTCAAGTAGTTTGGCACCAAGATTGAGATTTCAAAGACGTCTTCATTTAATGAGTAAAATATTGGTCTAATAATGTTGCTCAGGATAAAGAAAAATTTTCAAACCACCTACCCAAAAGTTACAATTTGAGCAACGGTCGTTTTATTTTACAAACAGCTCGAATTTCACAAGTCCGCCAAAATTTACCTGCCTCGCTGACGCTCTAAACCTTCTGTTTAGAGCGGAGTATACAAATGGTCCAGGCAATGCTTGGACCGGCAACAACGCAGGCTAGCATAAATTGGAAAGGAGTTTTCCTGTTGTTGTTGTTTTTTGGTTCTATTTTCTTGCTACAAGATTTAGGGACTGAAATACTATATCAGGGTTTTAAGAAGACTTATCCATACTCGATATAGTTTAGTCCCTTTGCTTAGCCTACGTGTAGTCGCACCCTCCCCCCGACGAAGAAGAAAAAACGTTTTTCCTTTGTCAGGGGGAGGGTGTGGCTACATTCAGGCCACCCTTTGCTACGAATTAGACATTGTTATGAAAAAGCAGTTATTCACTTGACATTTTTGCCTCCAAATATCAGGCTTTGCAAAAGGTGACAATGAATCGGGACAACAGGATTACCCTAGTCCTAATTTTTGAACTGGTCAAATGCATTATAGTCTGCTACACAGCCCTTTTTAGAGTCGTCACGCAACGCTCCTCCCTACTTTGTGAGGAGGAGCGTTGCGTGACGAAACTAAAAACGGCTGTGTAGCAGACTAAATGCATTAGTTTTCATGTCTGAACTCATCTGTAAATAGGAACTCAAGCAACAACGACGGCGACGGCTACGAAAACGTGACTTAAAAAGTGAATCCGCGCTGCTTCAAACTTAATCGAGCTCTTTCCATCTCATTCAGTTCACGGAATGATGTCGAATTTGTTTAGAATTGAATTCTAAAGGACTGTAGCGAAGTTCAGGAAAAGAAGAAGAATGTCGTTGTCTTGTGTTCCCGTCCTCCACAAAACGTGAATTTAGTCACTTTCACGTCGTAGTCGTGCAACGACGGCAAAGACATGTATCAAAAAGCGTGATGCACGTGCAAAGTTGTTGTTTGCTAATCTAAACCTACTGTTTTTTTGCCGTTCTCGTTGCCGGCGCCGTCGTCATTGCTTAAGCTCCCCAGTAGCCTCAGCTTCCAGCTATGCGGTACTCCCGGGTGCATCGAGACACCCAAGACTACGGCTGGAGACTGAGCTTAACCTGCAATGGCGGATCCAGGGGAGGGGCCTGGGGGGGGCCCGGGCCCCCTCTTATTTTTAGACCAAACTGAGGCCCGAAGGTTCGACCCCCCCCCCCCCCACTTATCTCAAGGTCTGAATCCGGCACTGACCTGTCAAGCGATCGCCTCAAATTCTCGGATCGCATATGTAATTGGCCATTAAGTGGTTACTGTATGGCAGCCATTATAACTCCTTTTGTCGATCTAAATGATTTTTTTAGGTACTTCAAGTCTTGGGAAGCCATGAATCTTACTTCATCTGCATACCTAGAGGTTATGAGTAAGTTAGTGAACATGTTTTTGTTTCATTGTCATTGTTACCTTTGTTAGTTTGTTTGACTGTTTTAGTTTAACATGTTGTCGTTTTCCTTAGTACATGGCAGATGGTGGTACCAGGATTTCTGTCTGCAGTGTCTATTGTGGTAAGTTTGCGCAACACTTTTATAACACTTTCACCTCCAAGTTCAGTTCAACAGATTTAATTCAAAAATTCAGTTCATTTTAAATCAAAAGCCATGGGTCTAAAGTTCTTGACCCAGTTGTTTAAAAGGTGGATAGAGCTATGTGTTTTGTGGATAATTCAGTTGGTTTCCTTAACCCTTTATAATTCCAGTTGGTTTCCAAACTGATTCCATAACCCCTTTAACAATTAGTTGAGAGAATTTGATCCATTTTTCTATGGTGATCAAATTATTAATTCTCAAAACTTTATCTCCATACATCTCCTTTAACAATTAGTTGAAAATTATAAACCAAGAGAATTTGTTAAAAATTATCAAAAAGCAGTCATTTTTTGCCTGAGTAAACTCTAAGCTGATGGTGATCATTTTATAAATTCTCATAACTTTATCTCAGTGACAGTGTATGGATATTGTTTCCAACGAGATGTCAAAATTGTTGTTGAACAGTCAAAATAAAGTTGGACAGTGTATGGATATTGGGTTAATACTATTGGCACTTAAGGGGTTAATACTTATCCTTTGGATCACAGTGTATTATCCCGCGGTGGATAGTGCTATCCCGCGTTTAATCAAAGGAAACCTGCAGATGTATTCTGAGTCATACTAAAGGTGTTCTTTTCCCGCCTCTGAAACGTCGACTGTGCTTTGTAATGAGGACCTCGTTCGGCCGAAGGAGCGTCATGTCATATTCATTGATTTAAGGATTGAAACTATGGATATGAACAGTTTCCTAAAGTAAAACGTTCTAAATGCAGGCTGTAAGGGTGACTCACTTTCTTGCCAGCCCAAGTTATAATGTTAGACGTTGCCCAAAGCCTATCGCGATATATGCGTTGATTCTGTAATCCAACTTTATAACGTTAACCCAGACCTTTGACGGCGTAAACATGCAGGTTTCCCGATAATTGCAACTATCCGGACGCAAACTGAAAACAGTCTTATCATACTAAATAATGCAATGAGCCAATAAGAACGAAAAATAAAATTATCCAGTCGCAGTGCGAAGAGCGGGAAAAATGCGCGTCCCTGCTACACCTTTAGGGGCCAATGTTTGAGGACAAAAAGGCGGAGGGGATAGAATATCCCGGGTTGTTCAAACGGTGCATGGCGCTGTCCATCGGATAAGTCACTATGCAGCGGATACGTATTAGGGAAACCGATTATGTTATCCACTCGGTAGAAATTTATCCAGTGGATAGCACTATCCAACTTTTGAACAACTGGCTGAGGTTTTTTTTTTCGCGTGCGGTCGGATGCTTTGGCATTGGTCGCGAGGCGATAGATTTTGCCGCCACGAAGCGAAGAACCCGCGTGAAAAACCCTTCCTTTTTGCAATACGCGGGTCACTGTAAAGAATTTCCAAAAACTGTATTTAAAAATCGCTCATAAAAGGTCTCTGGCACCCTGGGTATGGAAGGAATAGCTGCTGTAGGAAAGCGAGACTAATCCATTGTAATTCCGTAGATTTCTTCAACCGACACGTGCATAGTTTTTAACACCTCCTCCTTTTGCTCCTTTACAGCTATTGATATTTCCAAGCTTCTGTCTACGTGCTTTGGGTGACAGTACGGAATCTTCTTCTTTCGCTGGATGTCTATGCTGTCGACTCCTTGCGAGTGCATTATTAGGTGAGTTTAGCAGATTATGAGGGCAGGAAAGGCTGTGGTTACTTCGGTCCTGGTGTCTTCTCCCCCGTTTCAAATTGTGTTGCCCAGAGTAATTTCCAAGGCACTTCAAGAATCCCGAACACTTTCCTACGATCAAACATGGGCTTTGGATTTCAAGTACGTTTGAGTCAAGAGATAAAACTACTTTAGGAGCAAAAGTCCGTCAGTAAGCTCAGGTGGAATATCACGGGTCTGCTAAGAGGGAGGCCAGAGTTCAAACCCGGCCGGACCCCCAACTAAGATGTTTAAAAAATTGATAAGATCATGCGGGCTGTGTTCACGATCATGTCTCAGTTCAGATGATCGCGTGATTGGGCGGTGACGATAAACCGTTGAACTTGCCTTCTTTGTCCTTCCTTCTTTAGTGAACTCTTAGGGGACATTAAAGAACCCACACTACTGTTCTAAAACAGTAGGTGTAGTTTCTGCGGTGATGTGGTCGACCTCTACTTCATTTACGTTCATACATATCACAAATGAGGTGATAGCGGCAGCCACTGGCGCCATTTTTTGCTGACCTGTTCCAGGCTCCAAGATAGTATTGTGCAGTGAAGAGGGAAGCGAAAAACGCGTGGGGGCTGGGGAGAGAGAAGGCGGGTTCTTCCATTTTTCCCGCCTCCGCTCTCCTTTCTTAGATCACGCCCGTCCTATTTTCCCTTGACCTTGTTTTCGAGACGTCCCTACTCCTCTCCTGGCCCCGGTTGTTCAAACATTGGATAGCGCTATCCACCGGACAAATCACTATCCAACGGATAAGTTTTAGGGAAACCAATTGCGTTATCCACTAGATACATTTTTATCTGTTGGTTGCGCGATCCCGCGTTTGAACAACCGGGGCCTGAACGAAAAGTCCTTAGGTGCGTAACCTGAGATCAGGCCCAATTTTAGCGGTTCTCATACATTCTCTCTTACGGCTACCGCTAAAATCTATTTTCGTTTCGCCTTGCCCGCCGGAATGTTATTTTCAAAGCGAAACGAAAATAGAGCCTGATCTCAGTTTATTCATGGCGCGCAGATAGTGAACGGTCCTTTAGACTGCGTACAGTTGGTGTACTTTTAGGACTGGTAGTTTTCTCCAGATCTCAGAGTATTAAGGAAACTGAGCACCAGCTTATGGCAGTTAACTTTCCAGAATCCTTTGGGTTGCTGTTGGAAACCTGCGTCCTATCATAACTAACGGCGGGTGGCTAATCTTAGTGCAAAAGTCTGATACCCATCCTCAGCCTCTGAGGTGGCAAATTGATTTAGAGTTTTTTAATCCCACCCTTTAACAACTCGATTACACATTATGTGGAAAATTACAAGGAAGAATTGAGCTTGGAGGTTTGGTCGGACAGTGAAGATGTTTGAAATGGTCAATACTGATTCTGACACCCTATCACTGCTGCTCTACCACCAGCCTTTTTTGACTGAGAGGAATATCAGCCTCTGCTTCTGGGCGTTTATGCGTAGTATGTAATTCTGATCTGTTGATCTTTTTCTCTATCCTTCTTTAGGAATCGTTTTTGTTTCATGGGGAACAAAACCAACCACGATATCATCTATCAAGTAAGTTACAGTTTATTGTTTGTTTTGATCGAATTCTCGGCCTAGCTCAACAGGACTGGTGATTTATTCTCAATTTTTTTAAACTTCAAGCATTTTTTATTGGCTATGTTTAAAAGAAACCAGTCTCAAATAGATCGTTCACGGAGGTTAGTTCTCTGAAAGGAGGGACTGTTATCTCGCGGGAGCGGCCCTGGTAATGGTCCATTACAGGACTGGCAGGAAATATAGTGTGTTGGCAAGTCCAGACGTTGAGTTCTTATGTTTAATGATAATTCAGTACTCCTTAGGCTCGATAACCTTCTGGTCGCTGTTCGGAAAAATGAGTGCCCGCCGATCCCCTTCTTACGGAGTGGAGAGATCGGAGGGAATCCTCTCCGCTCCACTTTTTCCGCGGCGTTTCGCGGGAAAAGTCCGTAGCGGCGAGGAGCGAGAAAATACGGCTGTATTCACGGGCTATCAAAACCAGTTCATTGCTTTATTCACACTATGCAAAACATTTATAGACAATTTGTATTTAAAAAAAAAAACAAAACAAAGAAAAACACAGCAAAATCATAAAAAGGGTTCATATGTGTGCGGTGTTCAAAGTAGCAAAGGCTCTCTACTTGGACTTACGCTGGACACCCCTGTGGTCAGGCATAGTTAATTGAGTGGAATGGTTATGAAACCCGTCAGACTCCTTTGTTATATGTTTTTGTGGACCTGAAAGTGCACAACGTTCAAAAGAATTCCTATCATTTTGATTGTATTGACCAATAAAAACGTTGCATTAATTTATTCCGTAACAATTTGCCAACAGAAAACAAAGGATTGTGCACTTTCACGGTGCTTTGAACATAAACTGCAGCACTGTTGTTTTTATCATCGATGTTTGCCGCTTTTCATAACCAGTCTCCTCTAATAACTATGGGTCAGGTAAATGGCAGCATAAATGTCATGTTAGTTTCCAGTCTCTTTAAGTGACCATTTCTCTCTCTGCTTCGTAAAAGTTCACCAAATCTCTGGTGGGAGTGAATAGTAAACTTTGCTTGTAGATTAAAGGGTAAGACAAGAAACCAATGTGACATTCAAGCCCTCCCTATTAACACCGCCCCTTTAGCTGGTATTTTATTTGGTTACTTGTTTTGTAAAACACAACTGACTTGTTTTAACTTTTGTTTAATCCCTGCAGGCGCGTTTTATTGCTTCATTCAACTTATTGCGGAGCAGCAACACTTTGTAAGTATTGCGGAAGGGGATGGATCATTTCTTTTCCAATATGGTTGTAACAATCCTTTGAACTGAATTTAAACGGTTTAACCTTGTATCTTTGGTGACCAATTATTCCAAAAGTGGCATCTTCACAAAATCTTTTCACTAATTTAAAAGGGCCATGTTACAAGGATATCGCTGTTGTAGGTCAATTCTGTTCTAAAGTTATCACTGATACCCACACACAAAATGCTACTTAGGTTAAAGTTTGCTGGGATTTGCAAACAAATCCCTCAGAGCCCCTACCCCATTATAGTCTATTCTGTGGCCAATTATAGACCCCATCTTAGCCACTTTTGGGCAAATATGTAATTTTGGCGATCCCAAATTAGTCACTTTCTATTTTTATCAATTGATCCATTTTTTAGATTGAATAAAGAACACTTTACTTTTAATCTACAGTTGAAACATTCTGGTACGTTTGCTATCCGTGAATATAAAGAACTGTCTTGCCCCAAAAAAGCCGAAAATGTGCGACCCCATTATAGTCAATCCGGTCGTGAAAATGCAACCCCATCCAGCGGGATGGAAGTCCATTGATGCAAAGACACATTTAAGTTGAAAAAAGATAGCAAATAGCGTAACATAGCTCCTTTAAAGAAAACTTTCATCACTTTTTTCCATCCTAAATAATCGTTTTCTCTTCTCTCTTCTCCTTGCAGTTTTGGGCCTGGCCTGCTTCTCTGTACGCAGCCAATCACTCATCGTTTTGACAAGTCTTCACGGTGTTCTTACCCTGGTGAGCCTGTTCTATTTCGTGGCCGTCCGTCAATTAAACAAACCTACTCCCGAGAAACCTAATACAAAGCTTTGCAACTCGGACGAGAATCACGTAAACTAATAGTTGGGCGTGGCCTTCAGGACAGTAATTGATACCGTTACTCAAAGGAACGGAGTAGCAAGAGCTGGAAGACGGGCCCCCAGATTCCATAACGGTCTTAAAATTTTCAAACGGAAGCGATCATAAATGAAGAAGTGACTGTCGCTCTCAATTTGATGAGGTAACTGAGAGTATTTAGTGAGAGAGAAATTGTGACAGGTTGCTACTTTTAAAGCCGAATTTGGCTTTGTTTTGTAGCGTCACGCTGTGCGGGTGTGAATAATTAAGACATTGTCAGATTTTATTGATAGAAGTAAAAAGATTTAAAGTGAATTTAAACGGTCTGATAAAAAAATTAGCCTAGTTTTATTTTCATCGTCGAAAAATTAAAAAAAAATTACACAGCTTGGTAACCACTCCAGCTAGTGATACTTGTTCTTTATCGTGTAAAAGAGTTATCCGGTATTTTCATTTAAGGTGGCTGAACACTGTTTTGGCAGTTTGTGAGTATATGTCCTTTGCGAAATTATGGCAAGAGAAAGGTTGCAGCTCACAAGCTGAAACTTGGCAAGTGAAAAATATACTGATGAAAGATTTTGATCGACAGGTAAAATTTGACGTTTTTGTAGTTTCCATGGCAACATGAGCGATTGAATACAACCTTAAAATTTCACTTTTGCTCAGTTTCCGTAAACTTCGCTCATTAAATTTTCTATAAACGTACACACAGCTTACTATAATTAATCATTACCATTTGAAACTTATTTGACCAAATTTTAACAAACGGGGTTTTTAATAGATAATCAATAATATAATTGTACTGCAATTATTAATTGTGTTACAAAATTCGTCTGTTCAACTTCCATTTTAAAGTTCTCATTATTTGAAATACGACAAAAGTAAAAATTCTGCCAAATATCACAAATTTTAATGAGTAGATTTTGAGAAATCGTCTTCTGTGTACCATTGCTTTTTTTCTAATGTAAAATACGCGCTACCGCTGACCGCCCGCAAAACTGTGTTCAGCCACCTTAAGTTGGTTTTTCTTAAGTCATGTGCCACGACCAAACATTCCGAATCTACAGCCGTCAGTTTCAAGAAGAAATGGCTCAGTTTTTCGTAGTATCACTTTGAGAAGAATCTAAGTTTTACACAGTTAGAATGGTTTGAGACTGCCCCGGGGTAGAAAAATTAGGCCATTCTGTTTTCAATTTTATTTTTTCAATTATGAACAGTAGCCTATTGCCTAATTTTGAACCGAGGTGGGGTGGGTACGAGTCCGTGTATTATGGGGAAAACAACATGAGACCCACATTGTTAGAAAGAGCACATTGAGGTTAGCCGGGAAAATTCTCAAGTTTGGTGTCAATCAAGCCAATATTAAACAAGATAGGTATTTAAAAACTGGAAAATTTAGTAAGAGATGTATGGACTTCCGATAATGGTCCCCGATTATGGCTCTTGATTTCTATGTAAATATTAGAGTTTTTGAATAGCTGTATCTCGTTCAATATAGGTCCGATAAATACCACTGAAACTTGATGAGAATTTTGATAATCTTGGTTTCCTCTTTCTGATTGTGTGGGTGTTTATGCCATAATAAACGGACTCGTACCCAGCTCCCCCCGGTTTGAAATTAGGCAATGGGCTCCTCTCATAAGCCAGCTTCTGATTGGCTGAAAGAGTCAGCTGTTCTTTCGTTCGAGTTTGTCGCTAGATATTTAGACCAAAACTGTGCTCAGCTTCGTATTATTTTCATTTGTCATATTTTTGTAACTGGTCATGATCTTGAAATAATGAATATATGTTTGAAAATCATATACCAGAAGTGCAGGACGAGGAATAAAGTGTGAAAACGATCATCGCTGCTATGATCGCAACTTTTGCAGTTTCGCAAAGAAAGCCCGAAAGATTCAGTCTTGTAAGGGATTGGAACCGTTGACCTCTGCGAGGTCATGATTTTTTGGAGCGTTATATATGTGACTAAGAAGTAACAAATGTAACTAAAAAAAAACTTAAACACAACAGGAGGGTTAGGAATTTGAATCTGATTCAACCAAATTGTAGTGTTTTTCTTACTGACAGAGTAAACGTTGTTTGCTGGTGCTATTTGTCCGTATAATATGATAATTGTCATTTTTTTTCCAACTGTATTTTAATCACGGAAGCTTTGCTGTATTGGTCATTTTGAATTTGCTCTGAGGGTGCATTCCTTTACTAAAATCATGATTCACAACGGGGGCGCATTCGTTGGATCATATCCAAAACCGGAAACTTTGGATACATGATCCGAAGTATTTTTTTTTACTACGGATCCGAAAAGAGGTGAATACCACCACCGTTAACTCGAAACATTATCTATCAGTCGTTTGACTACATTGCTCATTTTAACGGCCATTTTTATCCGTTTTGTCGGTGTGGTAAAATCGTAATACAAACTGGGAGCGCTTACCATTTGTGTGGAAAACCCAGTAATTCCGGGGAGAATTCAAATGGAACGGTTCATCCCGGTGGAAATTTTCCGGAAAAAAGTAATAGGTTTCGAGGTATTACCTTTTTCCCGTTTTTACCGAAACGACCAAAATTTTCTGTACCATTTGTTTGGATTACCAGCGCCAGGCGTCAAGTCGAGAGAAGGCAAAAAAAATTACCAGTATTTTGTAAATGGGACAACTCAATCCCGTTCCTGTTTTCGGTGCCAAAGAAAGATCCATTACCATTTGACGGACGTTTTTCACCGAAATTTCCGTACAAATGGTAAGCGCTCAGGACCTGCACTGTTCTAGTTCACCAGAACACTGCTTAACCACTTCGCCGCCGGCGCGTGGTTCAACACTACTTTTCCACACACTGTTTTTCCGTTACATATCTTATTGCAAGAGTCATCTTGCATTTGGCCCGTGTAAAGTAGTATCTTTGAGCTAACCATCCAGAATACAATGAAAGATCAGCAAACTTGCAACATTTTCAGTAGCCCAGTTATTCTTTCTACTTGATGCCGTTGATATTGGGGCCGTTTCTATGAAAATGAATGAAAAAATAATCCTTTTAGGCGTCGTTTCGTTTTTCAACGGAAAACACTAACCATCCGAATTTTTTATCTGATCATGGATTTTAGTAAATAAACACATCCTGAGACTGGGTCTGTGTTTTCTCGAATTGCGTTATGACTGTTTAGGGAAATAACTTTTGAGTCGAGCAGCACCTCACTGAATGGCTCACAAAATTGGTTGTAAAAACAATAGAAACAGTGCCTTAACAATGCCCCCATCCCTAAAAACATAAGGCAATATTGCTTTAGTCGACCACTGAAATTAGAGGTTCATGTGAGGTACTGGGCTACTGCAAATTTTGACCCAGTATCCCGCGCAATCTCGTAATAGTCAATAAAAAGGCGAGAATGTCCTTAAATAAGCCCACAGTGCAATTCGACACTACTCGCGCTCAACTTCAAAATGGCTAATAAGCGTAATTGTGTTATTCCCCATGTGGAGAGGCAGCCTAGTCCCTAGGTGTTCTCGGCGCGGTCATCCTGGACTCTACCGTGAGCTGTGACGTCACCGAGAGAGACTTGCCCGCTCTTTCCCAGACTTCGCGTGGACAACGGGTCAAGAGAGAACGCCTAGGGACTAGGCTGATGGAGAGGGTGATCCGTGTGGTTATAATAACGGTGTTGAGGCTCGAAACGAAAGAATTCAATTTCTTACTTTCTTTGTACAACTTCAGTGCCTTTCGTTCATTACCTTGGTTCCAGAGGTTTTCATTCTTCTTGACCGTTGCGTTTATTCATTGAGCGCTGTGTTTATAGAGCTATGTGACTCTCGTTTCTCAATTAGAGGAGTTCTTATCTCTGTGTAGGATGGGAGTTACAGGGGCACCCAACGAGAATATAGTTCAAAACCACTTAAACATAGCGCTGTTAAACGTATTTTAGTATTTAAACGGTAGATATAGGCATATTTTTATCCCCTAAAAATCTTTCATGTGTTCGGATTTCCTAGCTGAAAGACTAGTGATCCGAAAATTATAGGGATCAAAACTTACCTTTTCGAAAATTCCAGCCAGAAAAAAGGTTCCCGAAAATTCTAGGTGACCTTTTTAGGGTAAAAATCCTTTTAAAATAGGCAATTATACCATTTTTTCAGATGTTCGAAAATCCTAGGAGAGTCAGGCAAGCAAGAAATTTTACAACAAATGTTCCGAAAATTCTAGATCTCAAATCGTCTTCCGAACAGATATTTTCCGAAAATTGTCGTTGGGTGCCCCTGGAGTTATACGCACTGAAAACGAATTTAAGGTTCTGTCTCGTCAGCCTTTAATCTGATTAGCCTAACCTAGACAATACAATTGGCGATTCTAGAATGTCCTTTGCTTTTTTATTTTTCAGTGCACTTTTAAGCCTGAATTAAGAGGAAACTATATTTAGAGCAAAGGGCAATTTTCGAATCATTCACTGACACTGCCTCTCTAAATGTCTGGAAAGGTCAATAGGTTTATTCATTTTTAGGCAAATTCATTGACCAGGAAAAGTGGCGATTATAACGGAAATTGAGGTTTAAACGTCTTTTTCTTTTAAATCCCAATTGTTATCTTACAAAGGAAAAACGGTTTTTTGTTACGGTGAACTCGTGTGGTACAGTATTCAGTTTGTTCTTTTTGATAATGTGTCAGCTAGACCACGAGTAGTCCCCATTTTTCCTCAGAGATAGTGGAGCGAGCGAAACCGAAGCGCGCTTGAAAATCACCCCACGCGAGAAATGCGAGACGCGTTTCGCTCGCTCTACTATCCCTGAGGGAAAATGGGGACTACTGGTAGTCTATGTGTCGGCATGCTAGTAGATCGTTGTTACAGGGAGAAAATCTTGCAATGTGGCAGAAATGTGTCAGATATCAAAGGATGTTATTCCTTCACAAAAATACGAGTATGAAATAATGTAGACCTGTCTTAGAATGTTTATAAAATTGTATGAAATTGTGATACATAATGAAGGAATAGTGTATAATTATTCCCTTTGTTTAAATACAGCCCTATAATTGTAGATATAACAAAAAGACCTGATGAGAAATTCAAAATTGTACTGGATTAATGTATATATTAAAACTGAAAACATCCATTATATTTAAGTGTCTCTTATCACAGGGGTACACACACTGTCGGATCCAGTCTTTTTGAGGGGGAAGTTGTGGCCTAACAGCCACCAAATCACACATTGGTAATGATTTTTCTTGACGCCCTGCCCTAAAACCCTACAACAGGCCCTGTCTAGCGCAGCACATGGTACAAAAATGACAGAGATAACACACTGGGGAGCAAACAATGACATAAGATTTCGAAAGAAGTGAAGTTTAACAGCTTTTTAAATGATTCAATCAAGTTGTTCTTCCCTTACGGCGTGGTATGCTGTCCAGCAAGGTGTATTTCTCCCACGTGACTGTTCAGATGTTAAGGGTTCATTCGAGAAAGTCTCTTATCGCAAACTCAAGCAACATAAGACGTAACGGAACTGAGGTAAACCTGTGCCAAAAATGAAAAATACTTTTCATGTTAACACAGCTGAACAAATTAACCTCGTCCTAGTGACTTCCCGTCGTTTATATCGAAAAACAAACCCTGAAATTTAACTGCCAAAAAGACGAAAAACAAACATTTGAGACACAACGGTTAATTTCTCTCCACTCTTTTTTTAAAGTAAGCTACATAATCTCACCTTTTGCTGTCACTTAATTCTGCCATGAAGTAATATCTTCTACACGCATTACTTGAGGAAGAGGTAAGCTGAAGGATCAAAAGAAGCCTATTAAAACAAGATTAGAAGAAATGCCAGTTTTTGACAAAAAATATGGGTTAACCCCTTCCCAAAAATCCAAATTTTTCCACTACGTTAAAATTTCATTTTTATCGTCAAAAAGCCTTGTTTTCTGAGTAGAACATCGTCAAACTATAAATCAATTTGGCTATGAAGCTTGTCGGAATTTCATCCTAAAATCTTCTTAGTGTCTTATGACTGCTTTCAATGTCGCTTTATAGTATGTCCTTTAAGCGCTACTAACAAAGGATGGTGATATGATGATCCTAGACGCGTGCCACACCCTGGCTCGTTCACCTCCAGTTTTACTCACAATCGATAGAAAGGCTGCAAATATAAACTGTAAGTATTGAATTTTTAGTACGGAGCCGAAACGGACAGTGATTCTCTAATTAAGGCTGAGTATAAGCAAAGGCGTTTTTGAGTTGAGCACGTCAATAGGAAGTCAGCCCTTTTCCCTTTTAATATGTCACGAGGCTTCCAATGCTAAGTGTCTTCAGTTTTATAGAATGCTTCACCCGAAAATTTGGGTAAAACTACCGCCCAAGAATGTAAGACGTCCACTTCTGGATAACGTGCGTCGCTTAAAATTTCTTTGCTTAACTCACCATTTTTTCTCCTGTTCGACCATTCACACTTCCCTCGTTACTTACGCTGCGCCAGGTTCAAAACGAACAAAGTCCGCCTCTCCACTCTAAGGACGAAAGCGCACACAGGTTGCTTCGTGTAAGTCCTGAATGGCGCCTTCAACTCTCTTGCTACTTGATCGCTCAGATCTTTGATTAACAAAATGTTTTTCAGAATACAGGTGCGGGTTGAATGAATATCGGGTGGGTAATGACTGACTGACTGGCTGAGTAACTGAAAGATTGGCTAGCACTGAAGTCGCCAAGTTGACTTGGCGACGGACTGGTCTCTTGGCTAGCTAATGAACGGACTGACTGACAAAAGACTATGTTACTGTCGTATCGAGTCGAAGACTGACTGACTGTTGCGGATTTACAGCTTAACTTACACGCATCCTGGTCGGCAGTCTCATTTGAGGTTCCCGAAGGCTCCATCCTAGGCCCTCCATTTTTTGTAGTTTTTATTAGTGATACCCCCGATTGCATCTCTCAGGGAATACTATAGCCCTGTATGCTGATGATTGTAAGACCTGTCGGATTATTGATAGCCCTCAGGACCATGTCTTATTTCAACGTGACCCTGATAATCTCTGTAGCTGGAGTCGACTAAACAGTATGTATTTTAATATCAGGAAGTGTAAACTTATAAGGATATCCAAGAAAAAAGATCCCTTGGACGCAAACCTTGTTGTGTATGACTCATCCCTAGATATTGTTTCAAAGTTCAAGGACTTTGGTTTTCTTTTGAGTCATAACCTCTTCTGGAATTCCTGCGTCAATCGCTAGTTTACAATGCAATCAGAATGCTGGGTTTAATCTCCCGTACATACAAAGATCTATTTGACGTACCTACATTAAAGACTCTTTATTGCTCATTAGTGAGATCCCAGTTGGAGTACAGCTCGATTGTTAGGTCACCTCGCACCGGGAGAAACATTGATTTAATTGAACGTGTGTAGAAGAGAGCCACAAAGTTAATTTTAAAATCTGACAATAATTACGAATCTCCTTTGAAGGAAATTAATCTTATGTCTCTTGAGCAAAGACGCTTTATAGCTGATGTTACTTTTTTGTATAAGTTTAAATGGTTATTTTAATGTAGATTTTCGTAGTTTTCTAAATTTTTATTGTCCTGAGTTTTTTTTTTCGGCGTTTGACTGCTTGAAACTAAGGAAAAACTTTGTTAAGACTACCAGTTTTAAAAACTCATATTTTAACAGAATTGTGGATATATAGCTGGAACTGTCTACCGCGTGAAGTTCTCTTTAGTCATGATTTACACTCATTTAGGCGTGGTGTATTTGGGCTGGGCTGGCCTGGTAACCTTTAGTCTGTCGATAGAACTGCCAAGTCTAGTTCATTTGTCACACTGCACTTGATTTTTTTGCTTTTCAGTTGTATATTGGACATAACATTAAAATTAATTTAATATTTTTAATATGTAAATAGTATCTACGGTGTTGAGCCTTGTGTGGGGTCTTTGGCTCTTTTGCGCAACTCCAATGGCCGCTCTCTTTTTTGTTAATATTATTGTTACTATTATTATTTATTTATTTATTATTTTTTATTAGTATTATTTATTGCCAAGACTCGTAATAAAGAGAGGCGGAAATCGAGCCTATGTAACTCACTGAGCACTGAATACATGACTGGGGGATTGAGTGATTGACTGACTGAATGTACTGACAGACTAATGGACTGGATGGCTGACTAGCTGAAGTATTAACTTATTCAAATGATATATTACATTGGTTGGAATGAAACAATAAAACCTAAACAATTGCAGTTAGAGAGAGAAGACGATAGCGGAGTTACGGTATTGTTGAAGTAAAAAATCATTTTAACAGATTCCCTTTTTCATTGTCTATTTCCACACCAATTCTTTAGCTGATTCTACAATTTTACACGAAAGGAAACTCCAGAAGAAGCGTTTGATCAGCCATTGATTTAACGAGTCAAGGTCTACCGAACACTTTCATCGCCGTACCCTTGAGAGATTGGCCTCTTTAAGCTGCAACATTTCTCCTAATATCCTTCTAGCATACCCTGTCAAATCCTATCTTGAACTGAAAAGAAAGTGAATTTGCCGTCGATTCACAAGCACGCTTGAACTGACGCAGGAGATGAGCTTGAAAGATAGCTTGATCATCACTATAAACTAATGCCTCCCATTTCTCGGTCTCTACTGCCTTTGCATGAACTCCGTAGCTGAAAGATCACGGAGGCTTCGACGGAACATTTCTCTGCAAAGAAGTGTGTGTTATGGTCTTCTCTCAGGATTAAGTCGACATTTGAACGGAGGGGCTCGCACGGGCACCAGTCAAACACAAGGATATTGTTAGAGAACAGATCAGTGATCATCAAGAAGGACAGAATAACGTCAGCGAAGTACTCTTTGGTGCATGGCTGTACTTGAAATTCATCTTCTGTTCTAAGGCTCGTGCGGGAATTCAGTCTGTCAACTTTTCTCGCGGGTTCCTCCTCCACAACAAATGACAGCTTATCTCTCCCAATAATTTTCTGAAACGAATTCCCACTTTTCGTTTGAAGTTCTAGATGAGACACCGTTTTTATTCTAGAGATTTGGGGAAGAGTTTGCTTGTACATGTTCGCCAAATTCTTCAGCTAATTTTCGTTGGAGACCCCGGCTTTCAAGACTGTGTGCAACACGCCCTGCACGCCAGACAAGTGTTTTTCCTTCGTTGACGATGCAGCACGCTTGTAGACCAATTAGATTTTTGCCTGCATACAAGAGCATCATGGCTACATTTTCTTTTTCAGGAATTTGTGGTATACAACTGGAAAAAAGTCATACCCGAAGTATAATCCCTCCGATAACTTCATGACGTCGTCAAGTCAATTGATTCAAGCGCTCGCCGCATGCGAGAAGAAGCCTCTGGTAGCTGGGGATCACTGGTGATTTGGGAATGGTACAGGGAAACCCAGGGCGCTTTCCATTTAGTCAAAATTTCCGGAATTTCCGGTTCGGCGGTAAATGGAACACGTTTCGTCGGTTCGTCCCACTGGAAAATTCCCAGAAAAAGTGGAAAATCTAAAAAGGTGGTCCCGTTTTCCCGGTTGGAATTTTCGAACGGAATGTCGTGTTCCATTTACGTTTAACGTAGTTTGTACCAGTTCCAGGTCCACGGTCGGGCACCGCCACGTACCGGGGTTTACGACCAAATGGAACAACTTTTTACCAATCGGAAGTTCCACTTTTGCTACCACCGAAATTTCCGGGTCTTTTTCCTAAATGGAAAGCGCCCGCAGAACCCTGGCGTTCCCTGTGAACACAGGCCACCCATGTCACTGTTCTCTGAGTTTCGGTGTTCGGCGGGGGATTGGAAACTAACAAAGATGGCGGCTTGTAAACTTCAACTTCACTTTAGCTTTTCTCGAAGGTTTGTGGTGATTATTTCGGTGGATTTTCTAGAAGCAATCAAAAGGAATGTCGAAAATCGTGTTCTAGTTTGTTTTAAAGTACTTGATGTGTATTTTCCAGCAGTCTTCATGGTGGGAAAGAAAGTGTCTACTTTAGGAATGACCACGTTGGACCACGTAATAACACTGTACCATCATTTTTGAAGGTAAATCTAAGCTTATGTTTATATTTCTTAACCTAAATACAGTGAAACCTCTATTAAGCGGACA